ATTTCAATAGCTAAGTCATCACACATAATTAAACTGGGAGGGTGGATAACATTACTCCAAGATAAGATGTGGAAGTGGAGGCAGAAGATTGAGAAGATTGGAGGGTGAAAAAGAACAGAAAGAGTGTCCACTAAGAAGTCCACAGAGGAGTTGTCAGAAGCAAGAGGGAAAAGAGAGGAAGAAGTCACAAAAAGCGTAAAGGAGAGAAAGGGTCAGTACAGATCAGTGAAGGGCCCTAGGAGAATGTCAAGAATCACTGGCCATAATATTTTGTGAGTAAAAAGGAGCTTAGAAATGCTCAGAATAATGTCAGGTCCCTAGGGAAGGAGTAGTCAAGTAGTCCCTACAACATTGATATAGTGGGTGATTTACAGTGACAGGGTGTGTGCAGTGAGGGACAACTGTGACATTCCCCTGCCTCTGATTCATCAGACTTGGGCAGGACTCTTGTCCTGCTGAAACTATCTTTGGTGAGACACAGGGACAGTGCAGTGCAAGTTGTGTTGAAAGTCATCTCTGATCAACAGGACACAACAGATCAAGAGTTCTAAAGCATCTCCCAGGCTGGTGCTCTCCTGAATATACCACAGTTCTTTGGCTCAGGCAATTTGTGAAGCTTCTTGCCGTCACTTTTTAAAACAAGTGACACTTCTATTTTTCCTCATCACTCAGGAGTACTTTGGCTCTGCTCTGTACCTACTATAACCTATTTAGACTTCAAAGAGTTGAGAATTGGCTGCTGGATCTTAAGAAGAAAGTAAATTTCTAGATTCTCAGGGATTGGCGTTCAAATTCTTTTCAGGTAATCAGATTAATGGAAGATTTTCATTCAAAGAAAGCTGATGAAGGTTTGGCTGCTTAGCACACAGGCAGAGGATGTACATTGATTTCTGGGTTACTCCACAAACATTCTGTGCTGCACAAGGGTACAAATATGTTCCCCACCGAAGGGTTTCGTTTTGAGTCCTGCTAAAATCGGGATTGAGACCTTAAACTTAGTAATAAAGAAAGCAATACCCAAAAGGATCTTTTGTATCAATGCTGAAGCAAATGTATAGACATAGAAATGCTTTGTCTGGTATATTCCAGCTTTGTAGGTGTTTTCCAAGGATTTACTAAGCGCTGAGAGGATATGCTGTGCAAATACTACATCCATCGGAAGTGCTGCAATCTTCCAGCTTTGATCTTGTCAGGGACTGAATTTCAGGTACTGGGGACTTCAAATATCGGTACCTAGGCAGAGAACCTGGGAGAACTAGATATCCACACTTAGTACAGATAACTGTAATGAGGACAATCTCCTGTAAGAGTTCTAGTGATGTTTTCTCCAAAGGAAACTTTCCCCAAAGCATTGCTACATAATTGTATGCAAAAAAAAAAAGAGGGATCTTTAAAAGGGATCTTTATTTTCTCCCTGCTCTGTAAAGTCTGTGGTTCTTTCCATACTTGAACCTCGACCCATTGTGCTATAAATTTTATGCCATCTGCTTAGTGTTTCCAGACTATCCTTCAAACATAGCAGTGGTAGAATATCAGAATCTTTCATCATTCCCCAATAAGCATGCTGCCTACAGAGTAGATCCATTTCACCTTGGCAGTATGTAAAAGCATAGTTATTCTAACTAATTTTCTGGTCAGATGAAAACAGAGAAATCCCAGTGTGAAAATATTTTTCCTGTAACCCTTTCACATGAGAAAATATAGGACTGCTTGAGCATGTATGTTTGATATTCTGAGGCGTGCTGCTCTCTCATATTTTCATTCCTATTTCAGCTTTAATTTGAATATATACATATACTTGGACTCAATCCAAAGCTCTGTAAGGTTTATCCAAAGACTGTTGTTTACTGCAGAACATTTTGGGTCATGGCCCTGATACAAATAAATAGGACTAGCAATAGGTTAAGTGTAACACCTTATATAAAACTTTCTAATCACACTTCTTCTTTTTTTTTTTTTCTCTAAGATTGAAATGAGAAATCAAGAGAAGATTAAAATTTGTTCTTAAATGAGAAAGCCTGAAGTGGCACTTTTTCTAACAACACCCTGTGAAGTAATTTCATTATTTGCATGATATTCTC